GCTGCCTTGTACTGCCACCTTGCTGCTAGCAGCCTGTGGTGGACCAGTAGGGGGTGCTATTCCCTCTAGCCCAGAATCTCAAGCCCAATGCCCCAGTATGGTTACAAGGTGCCAGGGCATCTTGCTTTTGGAGGTGATTAGATGTGAAATCCTGGTCCTGACTCTGGAGGGGAGACTCCTGGGAAAAACTAAGGCTGCTGCTGGAAGAGGTGTTAGTGGGGCCAGCAGGGGGGCGCTCACCCTGCAGTCCATGTGGGTCCTAATGCCCCGAGGTCCTGACTCTCTGTGGTCATTAAAAATCCCAGGGCGTTTCTCGAAAAGAGTTGGGGTGTTACCCCAGTGTCCTGGACAAATTTCCCCCTGGCCTTTACCCATCATCGCCTCCTAATAATCCCCATCTCTGAACTGGCTTCATCACTCTGCTCTCCTCCCCACTGAGAGCTGGTGTGTGGGGAGCGGATTGGCACATCATCCAGGTGGGTGTGGAGGGGATCCCCATTCCCTGTACAGCGCTTTGAGTGGAGTGTCTAGAAAACACACTATATAAGTGTGAGGAACTACTGTCTCAGCCTCCTTGGGCCATTGAGAGAGTCCATTCTTTTGGCTAATTGGGGGTGCCCCAATATTTTGATCAGTTGACGACTACTCCCCAGAGGACAAGAAACAAACAAGTAAAAGTTGAACAGTTCAAGCAACAGCTGATGGTTCATTAGGAAAGCAAGTGCAGAGCCTGCCAAACAGAATTGTATCCCCTGACTAAGAGACAAATGACTGTGCATGCTTGGTTTCATAATTGTTCTTTGATAGCCCGGAGAAAAAAAGGTTTGTACTGCATTCTTCATGGGATAACTCGTTCCACCACATGTGCTGTCAGTTTCTGCATGCAAAGAATCATTCTTTGTTAGGTGTCACTATGCCAACAATCTCGGGCACCACAGATCAGATAAAGATTTCACTGTGCTGGCAGTAACTCAGCTTCAGTTCATTTTTCCATGCACTCCATGCATGAGAAGAGCCTGGCTCCTAATAATAATAATAATAATAATAATAACAACATCACTTTATTAACCCTTTACAATTTCTTGCATTAGGAATTTGTCTTTTTGCAGACCCCAGCTTCCTCTCTATGAGACAGACAGGGAGAGAAGCTTGGGGTCAGAGCGCAGGGTCAGCCATTTATACAGAGCCCCTGGAGCAGCTGGGGTTAAGGGCCTTGCTCAGGGGCCCAACGGAGTAGGATTCCTCTGCTGGCTGTGGGATTTGAACCAGCAACCTTCCAGCCACAGGCGCAGATCCTGAGCCACAGAGCTACCACAACACCCCATTAGTATATGTTAGTAAGGTCCAATTGCACAGCTATTCAGGTTAGCAAAGCGAGCAGTAAGTCTATCTGGAAGTGCTTTTGCACACTGCCTGTTGTCTCTGTCTTTCCTTTCTTATACAATTGTATTGTTGTTGTTTTTGTACTACTTATCGTCTGAGAGCTAGCTAAATAGCATTTCGTTATACCACATACCTGTATATGAGTATAATGACAATAAACTTGAACTTGAACTTGATAACCAAAGCCGATGGGGGCAAAAATAGTCACTGGCATATTTCTGCTCTGCTTGGGAAACAATTTTAGAAACAAAAAAGTGAAACAGCCTGCTCTCACTTGACACTGAACTTTTAAAAATAATCTACAGGTTATTTGCTATTTTTGCTGTATACTCATGCAGTTCGGATTTGACAAGTTCAATGTCAAGCGACAAGAACTTGAAAAGTTGAATATAAGGTAGGGAATGTCACCTTTTATCGCTGGGTATTTCTTTGCTTATATGTTGTACGGTTTTAGAATCAGAGTACTTTTTGTGTTCAGTTATGGAGGGCACTGTACCCACCAGGCCGGAAGGGCAGAACAGCTCCACTTGTATGCTGTATGCTGTGCTGTACACTGCACCAGGAACGGATGGAGATCCTGCAATTAAAGATGGGGGCAGGGGATGGCGAGGCCCTGAGGCTGATCTTCCTGTTGCCTGCCCTTTCTCAAGCGCCCCCCCCTGTTGGGGTCACCACCTCACTCTTGGGGATCTCTGGAAGCTGGTGTGATGCAGCGGTGAAACGGCTTGTGCCTCCTGCGTGCAGGGAGTGCGCAGGGCCTGCTCTGCACGGCCAGGTGCTGGCAGCTCCTGCCTCCATTGTGACGCATGGTCTCCCCTGTCACTGTGACTCAGCAGCGCAGCAGCTCAGCCCTGCAGAGCCCGGGAGACAGTGACCCCTGGGGTGACACAGTGCGCACCGTCTCAGCACTTCCTTAACAGCATGCTCCCACATGGCTGGTTTCGAAACACGCATCTGTGAGATTCAGAGCTTGTCCTAAACCGATACGATCACAGGGTCCATATATTACACTGCGATTGCTACCAGCCGCTGGCCTGCTCTCACAGGAACATTCCCAAACAAGAGTTTTGACAATCTCGGTAGCGGGACAGGAAAATAAGATCGAGATAAAGATTTAAAAGCGTCACCCCTTCTCTGCCCCTTCCTTTTGAAGAGAAGCCGATGCTTCTTATCTTTGGCACATACAAGAACACAACGCGCTTATCTTGCGCACCAGCTATTGAATGTCATCTGCCTGGGTGCATCACGTTCTTTAAGAAGGTATCAGAGTGCACCAGAGTGATGATAAACTGCATCACTCATCACCTGCTGCACACTCAGGCTTGAGGCTGATTCAGCTGTTTAGATAAGCAATTCAGGCGTAACCTAGTGATCTGCGCATTCCTGAACTTCTTTGCTAGATCGTTCCTTATGTATCGAGACAGGTCCAGAGGGCCAGAGAGCTGTCTGAAATTCCAGCTTCAGAACCCACACAGCCGGTATTATAGCAAGTGTTATCCAACTGCCAGACATTGACAACATGTTTATTGCACTGCTGTGAACATGCCTGTATGGTGTGATAGCAGCACATCCTCATCCATTGGGGATCTAAGCAGCCTACT